GCAGCAGCAGATACAGCTGCCTCAGGCGCAGCAGCAGATACAGCTGCCGCAGGGGCAGCAGCAGATACAGCTGCCGCAGCTGCAGGAACAGCAGCTGCAGGAAGTGCAGCTCCAGCAGGGGCAGCTGCAGGAGGTGCAGCTGCATGAGATACAGCTGCAGGAGGCACAGCTGCAGGAGATGCAGATGCAGGAGGGGGAGATGCAGGAGGGGGAGATGCAGGAGGGGGAGATGCAGGAGGAAGAGCTGCAGGAGGAGCAGCTGCAGGAGGGGCAGCCACCAGAAGCCCCAGTGGCTGTGGGCACCGTGAATCTGGGCCAGCTCCCCCTGCCCCCGATTCCCCCTGTCTTTACAAATGGCACCACCACTGCCATCCTGCCTCATTTCCATCATGCCTTCAGATAAATAATCTTTAAAAGCAAATTTTTCTGATTGCGGAAGATGTTTTAAGAAGCATTTTAAACATCAGTTATGATACAAGGAAAGATGTAGAAAACAGGAATGGGAGTATGGTGTATTCAGTGATGACTTGTCTTAAGAGAATTCTCGAATTGCATGTATTGTGCCAATCTGTCCTGAGTATTCATGCTTTGTACCAAATTTAATGAGTGCGTGTTCTTTAATCAAACTGCAAATATTGTCATAACCAACATCGAAAATGACAGCTGCTATATATAAATGTTTGTCATATTGAGTTTAATTGTAAGCCATGATCATCATGTTAACTAAATAACTTTTTATGTGGCACTGCCTAGTATGGAAAGGCTTGGACTTCTCCAAGTTGGGAGAACAACTTTTTTTTTGCTTTTGCTTTTTTTTTTAATAAGAATATAACCTTTATATGTATGCTATATTACAACTAAGCTGTGTATCTCTCTGTTCAGGGATTTTTCTACCTTTAGGGTTGAACGTAGTTTAGTTACTATTACCATAGCCAACCTGTAGTTTTAGAGAAAGAAAATCCTTGTGAAACAATAGGTTCCTCCATTTTTAAGCATTTTAAATGTAGTTTGAATATTTTCCATATGATGCTGCAATGTGAGTTATTACTTCATTTATCTTAAAGACAAAACTGGTTGTCAGTTACATCTGCCTGAAAAAAAAATCACTGTGTAACCAGGTTAAGTGGTAAAATAATCCAGGCGTCAGTCAAAGACATTGTGCTGACTATAATATCGATTATATTTTTAACAGGAATTTAAAAATATTACTGGAATTTATATATTAAATGAGTTTTCTTTGCCTAGCTTAAACTACTATTCAAGCTGCTTAAGTTCCTAAGTATTGTTTTTAATCACCAATAGATAAGTGCATTTGTAATTCATCATTTTAAGCCATTATTAGCATTTACTCAAAGAGGATTACATTTTACAATGTAATTGTACCTGTAATCTCTGTCTCTGAAATCTCTTTCTCTTGAGGATTACATTTTACAATGTAACTGTACCTGTAATCTCTGTCTCTGAAATCGCTTTCTCTTGAATATGGTATCTTATGAGTTTTTGACATGTAAACTGTAACCTTTTAAAAACCTTTGTATTTTGTTTAGAGGTTTTCTTTTCCATAAACATGTATCTTACATATAATAAACTTTACATATCTTGCAATACGGCTTGATTAATTTTCACATAGCTACACCTGCGTCAACATTAAACACTCTGATCAAAATAGACAATGTTCTAACTCCCTAGTGCCCCCTCCTGGTCATTACTTCCCCCACAGAATATAAACTGTCGTTCTTGGTCTGCATCTGTTAGAAACTTGACCTTTTGAATAAAATCAGTTATTTCTGATGTATAGGTTAGAATACTACCTACTAGAGTTTAATCCACTCTGGCTACTATGATCCATTTTATAACAGCATTTACCATTAATTTCTAATACAAATTAGAAATTTACTTATTCCTTACAAGGATTTCTTTAGAAAGTATTATGCCCCCTAAATCTGACAGACTAGTTTGGGAGGGCAGAGAAAGGGGAGTGTTGTATTTGCACATCCCAGGATTACAATAAGTGAGAGAAACTCTGGCCATGACAAAGGGCAAAAGCTAGGCTGAAGCATGTAGAATTAATATAGAAGAACTTAAACTATGGGATCCAGATGGGCTTTCTTGTTTTTCCAGCACCAGGGACAGAACCAATAGCTTCACATGAGCTAGGAAAGCATTCTGCCACTGAGCTTCACCACTAAGCCCCAAACTAAGGTCCTTAAACTATAGTGGAGCCAGAGGGAAGGAAACAAGGCAAAATGAGATATAGGGTCCTCACTGGAAGGAATCCAGTGCCCATGCTCTAGACGTCCAAGTCAGTTCCCACATCCCATCCTTCCTCTTGGCAGGAAGCATCCCTCCAGAACAAGGGGTTGTGGGAGCTTTATCTCACCTCATCTTAAGACCTCCCAAAATCTGTTTATAGAAGCGTCCACAAATACTTTTACATGGCTTAATATAGTCTTTGGTCAGTTCTGGAATGCACACCTGATGTTCCTGAACATAAATCAATGGTATTTGGTCCCCAAAATTCAGGTCATGAGAACTTCTGATGTTTTTGTTATACTATTATGGGGGCAACTTGGGAATCTCTTGCTGAAATTTAGGAAAGAAACTTCACTGAAATTTCCCTATTAAAGTTCCCAATGAAGAAAAACAAAGTTGTTGAGCTAAAAAGTATGAGACTAAATATAAATGGCTCTTCAAAAAAAGAAAAAGAAAAAAAAAAACTGATGCTTAAGACAGCAAAGAGGAGGAAGAACTGGCTCACCTTCTCCCAGCAGCTGTGTAAAGCCACAGCAAAGAAGGGAACTGGCTCTGATTTGGCCCTGGTAAATGGGATGGGGCCTTTGGTGTTCTTCCACAGGGTGGAAAGCTTTCTGCGAACTTTCCTCCTGTGAGTTTCCCCCTAAATATGGTCCGTGTAAGATCTTATGAACAATTCTACATTATATAGGAAGGAACATTTAAAGTAGAAATCATTACTAATGGTAATATTAGGTGTAAATATTAAAGCTGGGTGAGGACAGATTTTATGTAGAAAAGATGCTGGTTAAAACGCAGTATTCCTAGTAAATAAATAACACTAGTACTTCAAAGACTATGTCACAAAAAGTTTTAACTTCCAAAGCAACACTATTAAATGCCTAAGAAATATTTGATTAAAAAAAAAACTTCAAGTGAATCTTAAACAGTATCATACAGGTTGATGTGTTTAATGATTTTGTTTTGAAAATTGTGAAGGGAGTAAATAAAGAGGAAAGTCGAAGCTAGTGTTACTTATCCTAAGAGATGCCTCTAGAAGATGGGTATCGACTGTCCTTCCCGTTAGGTGGCATTCCTGGGTACATGACTATCCAGGCTGCTGAGTTTCGGGGAGCCAGTCTGAATGCAGAAAGAAGCGTCATTAGTTTTAGAACATCACTCTTTGCACAATGAGAATGTTAAGCAACAGGCATCTGTAGATCTATAAATGCTTTACACACAATCCACAATCTCAGGAACTACCTTTTACTGTGGAATGTTTGGAAAAAGAACAAGGCAGTAGCTCTCCAGGTCAAAAGTGAGGATCATTCCCCCTTCCCTCTAACTCAAGACTGAAACACAGGGTGTTCATACTGACCAATAGTTTCAAAAGCATGCATAGAGCTAACCCAGTTTGGGACTTGCCCATCATGGATCCATTCTCTTAAACATTGACCAACTATATTCTGCACATTATGTTATCAGCCACACCTGGATTAGGGTGGGTTTTTTTTTCCTTACCTGGTGTCTCTAGGAGTTAATCTTTCTTAGAAGATTTACTAAATCCTTGTCTGAGTTTTGCTCCAGAAGTAGGGTCCGTAGCTAATCCTATGCAAACATAAACAGATTTGTTATTATGTCAAAGCAGAACATTCCCAAGGGTGGGGGGAATGATTATGAAATCTCCATATTGAATTCCAAAGCCTTTTTTCTTTTTTGGTATCAATACCCACTTTCCAACCTTGGACGAATAATAAGGAAAATGGGGCCTGTCTCAGGCGCTTCTCCCCAATGTCCCCTAGCCCTTTGTTTTCCTATGAACTTTGGACTGCCACCTTAGGGGACTTGCCATTTATACAATACGACCTCGGCATCCCTCCCCACCCCTTCCTGAGCTTTCAAAATGAACCCAGAATATTTCATGTCTTCATAGTTCTTCGCCAGCTCTCAGGGTTTGCTAAGCCTTATGGAAGCACAGGATGCCTTCCCTCACAGGGGTTATTCATATCGTTGAACTTGTGACAGAAATACTGTTCTATTCCTCTGTGCCCTGCAGAATGGCTAGGTATCGACATGTAGAAATTTCTGGATCTGAGCACAACATACTGTAGTCTGGGTTTGACCACATGGTATGAGACAGGATTTTCAGAGCAATCATTCCTTATAAAAAGAAACAGAACCTGGTATCTTAGAGGCATCCATTCTAATTATTCAGTGTTTTATGAAGAAGTAGCAGTAAGGAAATTATGAATCAAACAATCAGAGAATATAGAATAGAAGAAGCTTTCAGTGTTAGTTTTACCCAAGAACATACAAAACTTTTGCCAAAGAACCAGAAACTGATGCTATGATGCTCATTACATTTGCTACAGAATCAGCTATGTAAGAAGGGGTATACAAGTGCAGGTAAGATGCTTAACTTAATAAAAACCCACTGACTCCAGAGGCAGGGGCAGGGGGAAGCAGAGTCCACAGCAACAAAGCTGAACAATTCAATTTTACTAACTATGAAGCAACACAGGTGTAGATTCCAGAATTACATTTTCCCAGCAACTTTGGTCTCTGTATAAAGGTGCTAGGGAAGGAATGTGGTGGTGGTACCTCTTCACCCACCAGTTGCTCTGACACAAAAGCCTTGAGAAAACAGCCACCAGTAACTGCTTGCTGACTGAAAGTCATAAACTCTTTTCCCATCTGAACATTAGAATCTTTGTGGGAATGAAATGCAAGAGGAGCCACTTTTTTTTTTCTGAAACTATTTCCTAATGTTATCTATAGCCTTGACATTTGTATTCTTGGACCCAGTTTTCCCAAAGCAGATGGAGCTTCGGGAAAAGCCCTGCTGCTTCCTATTAAGTTGCTTGTCCAGATTGCTTAATCCTCATCTGGAAAACAGGGATATGAACATACACTGACCTGCTCATACTAGTATGAGGATTAAATGGCTTTGTCCATGGAGTGCTTGGAAGAGTGCGTAATGTAAGTGGGGCCACTGTCCATGAACTGGGGACTTATTTAATATAGCAAAAATGCAGAAGCAATCTACCTGCTCAATATTGGGAAAATAGCCGAGGGAGTTGCAATGTATTCCTGATATGATACTGTTTTTAAAGAGATTCTTTTACTATAGGGAAATAGTCAAAATGCATTAAGTGCCCAAAAAACAAAAATGTTCCTAGAAGGAAAACAAGAGAGGAAGGATATGAATAGAAATAAGTTAGGAAAAAAAGGTCAAAGTGAACAGTGCTTAGGGTGGCAGCATCACGAATGATTTTTAATTTTCTTTGTAACTTTCCCTCCATTTCCTAATATCTTTTACAGTAAGCTAGAATTTCTTACATAATTCTTAAAATGCTATTTCTCAAAATAAATTTTGGCAGGCTCACTTAAAGTGGCCAGAAACAAAAAGTTTCTAGGTCATCATAATTGCCTGACTCACACAGATGTGCCTGACGCAGAGTGACAGAGGATGGGACTGCAGCATTGACAACAAATGATGCTTTGTTAAGCGTCTCTGCCCTCCCTGCTCACATGCAGGTCTTCCATTTCAACTTTAGTTTCTCTTTACACCGCAACTCTTTCCTGTGCTTTGGCCAAACAAACTGTATGTTCCTAGAGTGTGGCCTCACATTCACATTCTCCATCTTTGTTCATTCTTCAATTTTTCTTGTCAAAATGTAGCTTATCCTGAAATCCATCCACTTCCCACAGAGCCTCCCCTCTCTGAGACTGCTACCTCAGTCATGAAGCCTCCTGGGCAACACTGAGCTCAACATGGAGCAATGTCCCTTAGGACGTTTCCATCTCATCATTAAATATTAGGCGCCGTTACTGACAGTCCTCCTAGATTTTTAAGGCTCCATAGGCAGAGGAAACAATCCCACCTGGTAACTGTTGGAGGGAGGACTCCTTTTGAGCACCTGGGTTAATGATTTACCAATTTCACATTCTACCGTGTGCTCACATGTTAGACTTGCCTTCTCATGAGACCCTGGGATAAAGAAGGCCTGTGACCTACACACATGTACCTTTCCTACTGAGAATTTAGAGCTGTTATCCATGGGAGGTGCTATATGCTTACTTTGCTAAAGAGAGTTGAAAAACAAAATCCAGAGTTTGGGAGGTTGCTATGGCTGAGATACGGCGGGGATGTGACCGCCCCACCCCCTTCCCAAGTGTTCTGGTGTTGGAAGCTGGATCCCCAGTGTGGCAATGTTAAGAAGTGGTGGGACCTTTACAAGGTGGAGCCTAAAGGGGAGGTCATTAGGGGTATCATCCTAGGAAGGGGTTAAGTAGTTCTCACGGAACCTCAGTTCCTGTGAGAGTGAGCTGTTAACAAAGGAGCAAGTCTGGCCCTCCCCTCTATTTCACTTCCTTCCTCCTCATGCCATATCTCCCTCTCGCATATGTATCTGCCACTGTGATGACATCCACTGGGGTCCTCACCAGTATCAATGTCATCCATGTTGTTTGGACTTTCAGCCTCAGAACTGTGAGACAATAACTCTCTTTATAATGTATCCAGCTTGAAGTATTTTATTATAATAATGGAAAAATAGACTAATATGGACATTAACTACCAGCTGGCTGAAAGACAACAATTTAATTTATGTGACACCAAAAATGGCCATGTGATTAAAAAGGAGAGTAACACAAAGTAAACTACTGATTGTCCATTTAGAAATAGCAAAGCCCAATAACAATTTTAAAAAGATTTTGTCTTTGTTTTGTGCTGCTATAACAAAATAGGAAGACTGGGAAATTTATAAAGAAAAGATGTTTATTTCTTAAAGTTCTGGAAGCTGGAAAGTCCAAGCTGAAGGGGCCCCCAGGTATCTATCTGATGAAGATCTTCTTCATTATGTCATCCCATGGCAGACAGCAAAAGGGAAAAGAGCATGCATCCAAGAGAGGGGAAAAGAGACAGAGCTTCATGACCAAAACACCTCTCAAATATTCCGCCTCTAAACACCAAAGCACTGGAGACTTTGGGGGTTGCATTCAATCCATAGCATTTTGCCCCAGCACCCTAAATCAATATCCTCCTTCCATGTAAAACATAGCCATTCTGTTCCAATAGCCCCCAAATCTTAACTCATTTCAGCTTCTAACTTAAAAGTTCAAAGTTCAGAATCTCATTGAGATCAGATATGGGTGAGTCTCAAAGCATGATTCATCTGGAAAGCAAATTTCCTTCCAGCTGTGAGATTATAAAATTAAACAAATTATTTACTTCTGAAATACTTAGGATGGACATCCCACTACAAAAGGGAGAAATAAGAAGAAAGGGATAACTGCTTCCCAATAGTCCAAAACCCAAGAGGGAAAACAATATGAAATCTTGAGACCTAGAATAATCTCTTTGGGCCTCATGTCCCACATGATGGACAAACTGGAAAAAGAGTAAGGTCTGGGCCCCTGAGGTCTCAGGCACCACCTCCTTCCCTGGTGGAGTTTTGCTGGGCTCGTTCACCCAGAAACCCTCATGGGCTGGAATCTCATGCCCCCAGCTTTCCAAGGCTGGACTTACTTGCTGGTGGCCCTACATCTCTGTGGTCTCAGAGACACATTCAAACCACGGGAGATCCTCATGTTACAAATAGACTCTCCTATTCACACAGACCAGAAAAAGGAACAGGTGTGACTGACTCATGCCCAGGCCAGGTCACATTAGTGAATTACTTGAGCCACCCGTGAATTACTTGAGGGTCTTCTCTCTGTATTGAGCCATGGATATTTACGTTTTTTTTCCAAGGCTCTCCCCCAATACATAAGGTTGCCCAAGGCACATGACTTCTATCTCTGCTCTATTAGCTCTATAACCCCTCTCGTAGCTCAGTCTTGGGCATAACCCACTGGGAATTGGACAGCCCACCTCCTACCTATTTGGCAAAGAACATTCCATGGAAAACCTTTGATGTCCCCCATACAAATAAAGCAAGCGCGGGCTCCATTTTGCGTTTTTTTTGTTGTTGTTGTTTTGTTTTGTTTTTTTTTTGTGTGTGTGTGTAAGCTCGATCCCTAAGATCAGCTAGCCCAGTCCAGCCCCCACTTTTTTTTTTTAGGTTGTTGATGGACATTTATTTATTTATTTTTATTTGTACATGGTGCTGAGAATTGAACCCAGTGTCTCCCTCACATGCTAGGCAAGCGCTCTACCCAAGACGCAACCCCAGCCCCTCTTCCCCCAACTTTTAAAATTACTTTCTGTGTCCTGTGGTTTTCTTCACCACTCAACCTTTCTTAGCTTTTATTCCTCAGCCAACCCATTCTCACCACTTGTGGGGTCGTGGGCAGGAGTGAAAGGCAATCAGTGCTTTTCTCCAAGTCTACACACTCTAGAGAACCAGCTTCCATTGATTGATGTGCATCTGTTTCCCCCAGCATAGCTCCAAACAACATGTAATTCCAGGGATTTTATTTCCAGGTAAAGCCCCAGGAAAGAAGAAATTACTGAAACATCTTAAGACTGAAAAGGGCCGGGGGGGGGGGGGGGGGGGGGGGGGGG